TAACCACTAGACCACGGAGGCTTCATGGTTGAACAGGTTCAAATACCACCAGATACACTCTATTACACAATAGGTACGACTAGAAACCTATTCTCCATCCATTCTCAATTGTTTATTTACAGGACTGCATTCGTTGAGGACTATGTTCCACGATGCATTATTAAGTCCTTTATTACAACACTGTATTTACCTTACTTTGATTATTTATATATATATATATATATATATATATATATATTGATTAAAACGCATGGGAAAAACCCAGAAACAGCAAAGCAAGAGGAATAATGCATAATGCAATGATATAAACAAAATAAAAAAAACTTAGCCTCCACTTTGCATACATGGGGAACGTCATAACCACTTGTACGTGTTTGACTCACGATTTTTATAAAACACTATTATCGCACGTGGCCAATCTAGTCAGAGGTCTTTAAGATACGACGCCCCTTTTCTGTGCATATTTTCAACTTGCTGGATCTCGAATAAGATACTTTTATATATAAATAATTCATTTAAAGGCTTGGGAAAAAACCAGGAACAGCAAGATGAATAATGCAATGAATAATATAAATTGAAACGTAACAGAAGAGGAATCTGACAAAGAAAGAAATATAGAGAATGATAAATAGGCCTACTTTCACATCCCATGTTCACCAACATATAACCTCTGTCACAGACACATTGTGGGTTGTTATTGTCATCAATGACACACGTAGCAGACGCACCACACTGATCCGCCATATCTGAACAGACTTTGTTTTCAAGAGCTATATAAATATTGAAAAAAAAACCCCATTAAATCAACAGTATTTAACGATGCTCCATAAATAAGTTGCTTTTCAAAATTATCATCGGTTTTATCATCTTCAATATTTTGCTTTCATCCTGCGCGACAATGTCGGTACGCCTTACGGTATGACATGTCCATCCCTAAATATCATCCAACCATTTTGTTTTGGTTTGCCTTTAGGTGCTTCTCTTTCCATTCTCAATTTATATTATTGGAATTACAATGCTCGCGTGGAATTGTTTCTTGATGGTATGAGCCTTCGTACTTACGGTCACAATTAAGCATATCTGATCCAAGTTCAAATCCGTCCATACAACCGCAGGTGTAGCTGCCTGCAGTATTTGTACAAGTTTGGCCACATTTATCGGTTCGGACATTACATTCATCAATATCTGTCGACATAATAATAAGAGTTAACTTAGGCCTAAGTGAAAAAAAGTTAATTCAACATTCCATAAATCGTCGCATTATACATTTAACTTGCTTGTCTCTTTTTTTTTCGCCTCTTTTTTTAAATATTTATAACATGTAGGTCTATATGTATTTTTTCAAATCCACGATTTGCTAACACACTCTGTATCTGTATTTTTTGATCCATCACTCTATCTTCTTCCTCTCACTCCTCACGTTCTCCTTTTTTCCACCTCCCATACTTTTTGTACAATGGCAGTCTCATACTTCGTGAATATGTATTATTACCTAAACAAGCAAAGCCATCACCGGAATAACCATCACTACAACCACATGCAAACGAGCCGTTGTTGTTGACGCATTGAGCGTTAATGGAACACGGTCCCGTTCCATTGACCGGGGTACATTCGTCCACATCTAAAGAGATAAATCAATCATACAAAAGCTGGATAGTTATTGGTTTGATTGTAACATTTCTTTATGCCTTTGGTATTTTTGGTAGAAAAAATGGCAGACTATATTAACATCGAGCATATTTACCGGTACACTCAGCACCCTCTGTGTCTCTAGCATATCCAGTAACGCATCGACAAAAGTAGCTTGCGTCTGTGTTCACACACTCTTCAATTTCACGACAGAGGTCATCTGATTCTGCACATTCATTAATGTCTGAAAAGTAAATCTACAGGCTTACTTTCAAAACCTACTAGATTAGTATTGTTTTTGAAATATATCTAAAGTTTGTTACAATGTTATGGCACTATTATGGTTATATGGTTATGGCGTGCTGTATACTACAACTTACCAACACACGTGTAACCATCTCCCCGGTAACCGGCAGGGCATATGCACAAGTAACTACCAATGGAATTTGTACAATTTGAATTCGGATGACAATCGAGTGCCCTCTCAACGCATTCATCAACATCTGCGCAATATGTGTTGTTACCCTGGAAACCGTCCCGACAAGTACATCGATAGCTGCCGTCAGTGTTGACGCAGTCTGCATTCGGATCACAGACGTGCATTTCTTGTCGGCACTCATCGACATCTTGAAATTAAAGTAAAATAGAGTAAATTGAAGTTGAAACTGTGTCTACGTGTTGGTGTATTAAGTATTACAGTATGCCTAAATATATGAATTGCTATTTTCATACCAGTAACCTATGATAGGCCTAGGCCTATTGCTCATTATAGTCAGTATTAGGCCTAACTTACCTTCACAAGTTACACCATTGCCAGAATACCCATCAGAACACGTACATGTGAACGAACCATCAATGTTTCCACATTCTGCCATGAAGTCACATGGGTACACACCTGTCTGGCATTCATCGATATCTGCATTGAAAATTTATCGGCATATTAATAACTACAATATTTGTAAAAATGGTTAAGAAACTAACGTGAACTGTCACATGTGTTGTTTGTTGGCTAATAGTTATAATATGATACTACAACTTTTATTTACCTCTGTAACATTACAACCGATTATTGCTAGACCTGGCCTATTTTTTATACTTCCATGAGAAGGCGCAGAGTTGTGGAACGCGTATAATGCTGCTAAAATTGCGTTTTCACTGTAAAAACAGCGTGGATTTAAAACGCAAAGCTCCATGATGTTGTCCTGTCTTTGGTTAGAAACATACCTTAATACGCATAGGATCTTGAATTAGGCCTAACTGTGCTTATGTATATGACATCATGATGTCAAACACCCAGCACATTTAATGCTTCCGAAACCTAAACACATCCGGCCTGGCCTCAACGTGTCACACCAGACAGGCCAAAATTGCGTGGAACTGAGTGCGTTTAAATCCTCCACACTCTGGGGTGGATCCATTAGGGGAACGGGGGTCACGTGTCCCCACCCCCGTTTTGCCATTATTTTTTTAAAATTTTCAATGCAAATCAAAGTTAGGTGCTACTCACTTACCTATTCTAAGACTGCTGTGCCCCCCCCCCCCCGTTTGAAAAATTCTGGATCCGCCCTTGACACTGTTTTTACTGTTTTTACTGTTTTGTTTTTGTTTGTTTTGTTTCATTGAGAGAAACGCGAACACAGAATAGAACGAAAAAAAGTATAATGTTAAACTTACCTTCACAAGTTTCTCCATTGCCTTCGTAACCTACAATACACGTACAGTTATGACTACCAATAGTGTTCTGACAAACAGCTTGATCACTACATGAGTCAGTTCCACGATCGCATTCATCGATATCTGAAACATTCCATATTCATTTCATTTATGGTAATGTTAAGGTCAACTCAGACAGCGTCGTACGACACAGCCCGACGTCGGGGAACAGTCTTAAGCTGTCGTGATATTATTAAATATGTTTAATTTATACGACGCGTCTGTTCTCGACGCGAGTCGAGTCAGTCGAGACGGTCCAAGTGGAGTTTCATGCAAATGTTTTCGAAACAAAGATCGCGTCCCCAACGCCAGTGGCGTAACTAGGGGGTACGCCCCTCCCCCTCCTCCCAAAAGAATTTACCGAGTCGCTCCCCCAGAAATCAAGGTCAAGTGTTAAAAATCACCTAAAATCACCTTAGTTTGCGAATTAGCGCCCCTCAACTGATCATCGAGCCTCCCACTTCACCTTCGCCCCCCCCATCAGCAACCCCATTTCAAAACTTTTGGATACGCCTCTGCCCGACGCAGACCATCGCCTCTGTGTTTAACTCACACAGATCCGACGCGTCAACAAATCGCAGTCTGAGTTGACATTTACTGATAAAATACAATACTTACAATTACATGGGTATCATAAAACATAAATATAGAGAATTTCTCAAAAAAAGTATTATAAATAAAATATTAATAATATAATTTAAAGTAAAATTATTATTAGGCATATCAATATTGATTGTAACAATATTTATTACTTTTATTAATACCATCATTACGATACTGTTAGACTTGTATAGCGCACAATGCACGCAAAAGCTAAAATGCGCTTCACATCATAAAATGAATAAATAATATATTTAAACAAATAAATACATAAGTAAACAAAAACAAAAACGAATGTGATGGTCTCTTTATCGTATTGTAATACAGTGACATTTATTTCCAATCGATATTGATTAAAAAATTGTCGCAAAGTGTATATAATACGGTATATATTTTTTTTTACCTGGACAGTCCTTTTGGTTTGGATGTAGCTCGTAGCCTGATCGGCAGCTACATGTATAGCTACCAAGTGTGTTAGTACACAGCTCAGTGTGTTCACAGAATGGCACCTGATCATCTTGGTCCATACCGGCAGCACACTCGTCATAATCTATCAGTTCAATAAAACATAATTGCATACCATTACGTTTTTGTCCACACTATCAAATTCTATGTCAAAATAATTTGTGTGATGTGCCTTTATACGGGCATGTTGTTGCATTACACCCAAATGGGCAAAATCATAGTTCTTTGTCGCATACAATTTGATAGCGTGGACAGAGCTTCTGTTAATCAATAACAATTTTTAAATGTGTGACTGTAGAAAGATGTTAACGTCATTCAAGTGGATGCAGGCCAGAGTGTCAATCAAACTTAACAACCAACCAAGCAGAACATGGTCAGAAATACGCGCATGTCCCACAAACACACCTTTAACGTACAGGTTTACGCTGTCGTATTGTGGAAACTTAGCAACAGCATTACAGAGGTTGAGACCTAGCGGAATAGTGTTCCGTGTACATATGAATAAGACCCCGTTTGAAGGCCTACATGTATATGTCTGTTGAAAAATCCAACATATTTATAAGCAACTGATGTGTCGGTAGTGTGACGTCATACCGTAGCATTTGAATCCGTCACCAATCAAGCCTGTCGGACAGCCTCCACACGTTGCATTCTCAGCAGGTGCAATGTTGTCTATGCATATAACACCAGGGTAACAGGGTTCCTCTATGCAGGCATTATAATCTTCAGAACAGTCGTATCCTGTCCACGCCAGACTACAGCTACATTGCACAATCTAAAACAGTTACACATATACAATATGATGAATAAAATGTGTAACCGCGTTAGTCTGCTATTAAACAATATAAAAGAAATGACAGCAACACTCTTAAGAGTAGCTTTTAAAATTTAATCTCTAGCTTTCGTCCACACAGTGGCCTTCATCAGGAGACTGTACAAATGGGATTAGAACATCTATAACTCTGGTTCTTAATTAATTTTTTGAAGGGTCAAATTATTTTAGAGTCTCACGGGCCAAAGATGATCTCCGGCGAGTTGATCAATCGTTATCAAGAATTCTTTTCGCTAAAATAGGTTAATTTGAAAGATTTTATGGCAATTTCAAATTATAATTTTAATGGTACCGTAGTACACCAGCGGTTGGTTTGGGTCATCAGATTAATAGTCGTTAGTCAACTTTTGTCGGTCGCGCGCTACCAATGCAATTGATCACATTACAAATGCCTACGCTTCTTAATTGACTTTTTTTTTTTTTTTTTTAAACGTTTTGGCGTCATCTGGTACACCAAATTTGTATTTTCTATGTAAAGTAAAGAATACAGTACTATGTAAAGAAAAGACTTACAATAAACAGAAAATGCTAAAGTCAATATAGTAAAAAACAATAACAAAAAAAAATATACTACAGTGTATCAGTAATTATGTACTAAATATGGATCTTAATAGAGTAGCTTCAAATATGCATATACATGAAAAGCAGTAAAATAACAAAAAATGAAATAATAAAAATTCCTAAAATAATAAACGGAAGTAAATAATAAATTATAATCATTGACGGTAATGTGCGAGGAATCCGAGATCAATGTTAAAGTCTAATTGTATACAGTCTAATTACATAGGCCTACAATAGAATTACCACCATGGAAGAAATAATTTGTTTCCTCCATGTTATAGTTAACTTTTTTTTAACTTTTTAGTATAAACGGATTTGACAATAAAATAATAAAAGAACTTACTGCAAATCTATTGTTAATAATATCAGATCCTTCTAATATATCGTCAAATTTACAGGTGCCACCATTTAAACATCCACAGACACGTATATCAATGACAGCGCTGGTTGTTTGTGAACCATCACTGACCAAAAAGGTGATAGAAACCATGTCTGTGTTCTCTGGAGTCCACGTAAATACACCGGCTAATAAAAATCATAATAGGCCTATTTAATATCAATTAATTTATCAATCAAACGATCAATCAATCACGAGAGATCATTGGAATCGTCATAACATTCCTACATTTTTATGTATTTACATCGCAAAATAATGATATAAATTAGGTATACTAGGAAACATAAAACCACAGACCCTATATACAATAATAATAAAATACTAATAAAATTAAAGACTACTGAATTAAGTAAGAAACCATGTTAATACTTTTTTTTAGTAAAAATACCGAATAGTTTAACTCACACTGAGAATCAATCGCGGCACCTGGCACTGCGGACTCCAATTGATATGTTATTGTATCATTATTTTCGTCACTTCCTTCTATTGTCAATGTAATTGTATCGTTAACACGTACATTTAACTGGTATTGGCCAACTTTATTTTCTTGGCCGGCACCCACAATCTGATCAATAACGGGTGGTATATTTTCTGAAACAGATTATGATCACATTTTACTTTATGTTTGCTATATATTGTATACATATTCATATATCATGAATTATAGCACAGTAATTGCACGGTTATAGTTGTTGAACTGTAAGGCAAATCTAAAGTATGACAACAGGTTATGAATGAGCACATTTATATAATTCTAACTCAATTCAATACAATTCTATTTTCACATTCGTTAAATTCAAAATATATCTTTACAAGATGTAGCATACCTAAAATCTCTACGTCATTAATGTTGTCCTCATCTGTCGTTTTCGTGTTCATTCCCACTTCAATATTCTTTGTGGCTAAAGCATCGAACAAGCATTCTGTGTTGGATCCACACACATCGGTAGCTTGTTGTAGTAGGTCCGCGTCAGCATTCGCCTTGAGATCATCCAGGAAAGTTGGTCGAAAGCTCTTGTCATTAAAATCATCGTAATTCATACCAGGTGGATAGACAAATTCTGACTCATTTTCTGTTAGCCTCCCTGTCATTTTGAATAAAGAAATAAAAAGTTATAAAGAGTATATAGTAGGCCTAAAACACAATTTTAAAATATTAGAGGAATACAGGGGCGGATCCAGAGATGTCCGAAAAGGGGAGGGGGGCTGAAAGGGAGGCCGAAAGTGGGGCCGATCGTGACAACAATATCCTATGGGGTCCGGGGGCATGCCCCGCGAAATGTTTGTTTTCTAGACGCTCGAAAAATAGCCTCTGAGGCGTTTTGGAAGATCAATAATTTCTTTTTCTTTATTTTTTCTTTACTTTTCATGCTGCTACATCCTGGGGGGGGGGGGGGGGGGGGGGGGGGGGGGGCCGACCCACCTCCCCTAAATCTTCCCCTGGAATTGTAAACGGTAACGAAGCGGAACCTTGAGTGTGAAAGAGTTTGAGATTGGAGGTAACCAACCGAGTTCGCACTCTACGGCATGCCGATACAACACTGATATTTGACTCACACACCTGAAACTTATACGCTCTCTTCTTAATCAACTTAAACGACAAGACGTAATCTCCAAAGCGATATCTTTAATATAAGAAATATACCACACGTGGAGATATCAACTCTAAATCATCTTGCGCTAATGATATATAGAAATTTTAAACGGTAAAGAGGAAACTCTGCTTATACACATCTAGATGTGTATAAGAGACAGATAATATATATTTATATATACATTACTATTTGCTCTGGAATTGAGCGAAAAAAAGAAGCATGACCAACAAATTAACATAAAGACGTACATGAATTGCCGATATCAAATATATCAGATTCCTCTAAAGTATTTGAAGTATTCAAACAAACCATGGTTGGCGAACATAAATCATCAGAAGTGTCATCGTTCCATATTCCTGAAATCATAAATTGATAATGTTTTATCCAATGACGAGGAGAATAATGTGAAACACATATATGTATAAACATATACGTTTATTGTGAAATGCGATAGTACACTTTTTTTTATAACTAGTAAAATTTTGCCCAGGCAATTTTATGTTATAGGCCCTAGTTAATTTTTGATTGATTAATTGTTGGTTTGATTGATTAATCGATTGATTGAGCAATGATTGAATTGATTGTTTGACTGGTTTTTTGAGCCGTGTTTAAAAACATGATATGTTAAAAATAATGCTTTATCTAAATAAAAATGTTACCAAATAGTCCTGTAGTCTGCCCTTTGAATTCTTCTGGAAACTCCAACAGAACATCCAGCATCTTTTCCTGCAATGCAATTCCAAAGGCAATTCCAGAACCCCAAGAGGCATACACTCTTGTAACACCAGGGTTTAGCTCACTACTATTTCGAATGTTTAATGTGAACTCCGGATCATCCGATGAAAAGTAACTGCCTAAAGATAATGGTAAATAAAGAAAATATGAGAAGACACATCTTATGTAATATCACGAGGACATCAAATTACTTTCTGTAGACACCATAAGTCCTTGTTTCGATTATTATTATTATTATTATTATTATTATTATTATTATTATTTTCTAATATCAAGCGAATTATTATTATTATTATTAGCATTATTATTAGCATTATTATTATTATTACAGTATTATTTTTATTTTCTAATATTAAGCGGCTTCTATGACTTTTATGCCAATTCGTTTTAAAAATTTGGTGAGTCGTTGCAGGTGATAGATTGATTCGGCAAATGATCCGTAATTATCCGAATAATATAGATCCACACATGGACTTACCTAGCAATAAATCAGCAACTGCAACAGATATTGTGCCGTTTACGAGAATATCAAAATCTGTCCCATCCTCATTCATTGTGAATTGAACCTGAAAAAGAAACAAGAAGCATTGGTGCCATAGATATTAAATGTAAATGTAGGAGTGACAAGATAGTAGGATGAGTTGTGAACTCAATGGGCACACACTTCGCTATGCCGTCTGCTTAAAACGCGATTTATCGCGTACGCCTCGTCTTTATCTTCATGGCATCGTGTCGGCGACGGCCATCGGCACAGTGTCAGCAATATAATTAAAAAAAGTAAACGCGTCGCGAGGTTTATTTCAAATATGGTTACAATCGGTTGAAATTATTTAATACGAAAACTACGATACTAAAAAATCTTAAAAAAACATCAATTCGAAGTTAAAGTTAAAAGGTACCGGGTAAATGAATTAAAAGAATACCAATACCAACTTTTCTTTGGCCTGTAACAGTAGAGTAATTAAAAAAGGAAAACTGAATACAATTAAAAGCCAGTTTTGCGACCGGGTTTTACATGGTCTTTAGCTCCTTTGGTCTCTAATTAGAATAATAAAGATAAATTTGAAGTGGTCTTTAATTAGAGAGAGAACTTTTACACAAGTTTTTTAAAAGAAATTATTAATTATTTTTAACAATTGTAAAAAAAGAGATTTAATCCATAACTGGGAACCAATAGAACAGCTGGTAAGTGCATTCTCAGTAAACAATAATGATATGAGCATGAATAAAACTGACACTGAGTTTGGAGACATGCGCGTAATCCTGCCTATTTCAAAACACGTTCTTATTGGTCAGTTGTTAAGTTTGATTGAGTGCTATGACGCTCCTCCATTTCATTAAGGTACACTGGTACTTACGTGAGTACTGCTCCCCATAGTATGTACACCTGTAAAGGCTGAGAAAATTGTCGCATCGACCTGTTCTTCTGACACTGGCGAGGACATTCGACACTGAAGCTGGAATAGACCGTCATTCACATCTGAACAGATGTATTCCCCTTTACCATTGAACGTGTATTGATACCCATCACTTGTTACAATATGAGGATCACCGAACATCCAGGCTGTACAAATTAAATACCAACGGCAATAAGTAATACGACTGCCGCCTACATGTTTGCATTCACTTCAATTCAATTTATTTTCACTTGTATATGAAAACAGGAATTTCCAGCATAGTATGGTTACAAACATAAATATAAAAGAACAAAAGTGCATTGGCGAAACCTAATAGGCCAAGCTTGACAAAGGCAAGCAAAATACAATTATAACGTACACTTAAACGTATATACACACACACATACATACATACATATATATATATAGGCCTATATATATGTATATATATATATATATATATATATATATAATGTTAATTACACTAGACATAGTTACAAATTAAACTTTCTAGTTTTTCAAGATTTCATCACAAGGAGTAGCCTATCTTTAATTATTAGTGAAATAATGTTTTTATTTACAACATTGGTAGTAATATTTCTCCTAATGATCAGACTTATATACTAGGTAATACTCATTATATTGAACTTGAAAATATGTAAAATAAACTCGAGATTCTTACATATATCTGGAGGTCTATATTGGCTGCAATCTGCCGCAGGTCGCCTTTCATAAAATAGGTCACAGAGAGACAGGTCGTGTGATTCTTTGCAACAGTAGTACTGTGGCATAATATCATACGCTATAAAAGAAAAAATTAACAAATGAACAAGTACTAGAGAGAGTAAAGGAGAAAAGAAGTTTATTAGCTGTAATAAAAGACAGAAGATAGAAATGGATCTGACATAATAATTAGAGGAGGTGGTCTTTTGAGATATATTATTGAAGGAAGAGTAGAAGGAAAGCGGCTTCGAGGAAGAAAAAGAACACCATAATGTTGTTGGCTTGAAGGGAACAAATGAAAGCGCCCCTGATACAAACGATAATTATAATAATGGACTTGGTTTAAATCCAGATATAGGCCTATGTCTTTCTAAAATATTTATTATGATACGAGAAGCTTTATTTCAATTTTCATGATAGAAATTGAAATTGAAAAATTATCCATTATTATCACCGTGGGTGTTTTTATCTTGTATCTTACCTATGTGGTTGATATAATTATTGAATATCAGCCAATTTCCAAAAGTGTAGCCGTATTTAAAGACATAGCTACTGCAACCTATTCCAAGATAGCCATTGATAAGAGAGAACCCATTAAGCCGGTAGCAGCACTGTGTTCCTGAGAGGTACTGATTAAAAGTTGACGATTGTAGGCATAATGCATACGATGTTGCTGGAATTGAACAGAGAGAGAGAGAAATGTGTATTTGCCTTATTTATATTTATAACATAGTTTTTACATACTAGACATTGCAAGAACTATGTATTTCATATCCTGGTAGCATGACTCTGACGTGCAAAATGGTTCTAATTCTTTATTATTCTAAAGACTATTACTACTACATTTATTATCAAGTAACTATGTGATTGTAGTGAATATATTGTGGAAATCTCTTTTATCAGCTGATAATAATCAGCTTTTGTAAAAAGTGTAGTAGGGCCTAGTAGCTTAAGTTTATTTAATGTAATTTGGGTAGGTTCAATATTTGATAGATCTGTTTAACAAGTTGATGCGTTGCTGACTCACCATCATTTAGAAGCGTTACAATGTTTTCAAAAAGAGATGCCGATATTTTAAACGCCTCAAGGGCGGTGTTCACATTATCACCTCTTCCTATCCCCGTAGAAGAAATAGATACCAGAGGACTCAATGAGTATCGTCCGTCTCTGACGGCTTGTCGCAAGCTGCAGGGACAACTGCCTAAACCACTTGTTGAAAAAAATTCAGTGACATCCTGAGAGTACCATTCAAGACAGCGCTTTTTCGGGTTAATGGTGTCTTCATTATTGTTCTCAAATCGAAACACCCATTCGCCAAGATTACCCGTGTTGCCGGTGAGCTCGTCTGGTCTGTAATTACCGATTACAACATTTACTGGTCCATCACTTCTGATGTTGTATCCGATGGTGGCATCTTGAGGACTTTCAAGATCAGGATTCCACAACATATCACGCTTCTGGTATAAGAATATCCCGAAGCTGTACAACCCGTCAGTCATTATCGTTGACTGAAATGTGTTGCGCTGTCAGATAGAATAATTTGTAATGTTCGATTTCAAAATATTTCAGATAAACAATAATAATAATAAATAATAATAATATTAATCTATATTTTAATTACAATGTAGATCATCGAAATCTCCATCGCACCAAGTGAATATAACTCCATATTTCAGCTTAATTGAGGGGAAAAAAATGTCGTGTCGTTATTCACTGGATATTTAGCTGATTTGAGCTGTATTTCTGTAAATGTTTACGGCACTCAAAATCGACGTGTAGGGCCTATACGTTCCCCTTCTAAATACGCCTTTTTTTGAAAGTCGAAAGTTTTAGTAGCATGCATAACGTACCGTATTTTTGGCAGAATTAGCTGGACGCTGTGCAATGTCAGACCACGTGACTTTCAAAGCCCATGTCGGTGAAAAGTTTGTTGGCAGAGTATCCTGGTACAAAGAAGTTAACTTGGTCAAAATTTCTGAGAGAAATGACTCGTCATCGGGGTCATCAGATGTGTACTCCTAAGAAAGCAAGTAGAAAAGTAATAGTGGTGATATTTGTATTTCATCATAGAGAAATCTATGCAACAAAGCACACCCTCCCCGTCACGTTAAAAACAATATTCATTGTATCAATTCATATTTATCAATACAATTAAATGTATTGTTTGCCAAAAATATTCCATTAAAGCATAAGCATAGGATATTCATTTTTTCAGATATTTTATCTACTAATAATTATGGCAATACCTGGTACAGGACGTCCCCGACATTAGTGGACAAGTCACCATCAGCCCAGAATGGAGCGATTATGTTCCTTGTGTCACCGCTTTGAAAACCAGACGTAGGGGGATTTGGGTAGGATAAAATTTCCTCGTCGTCATCAACCAATATAAGGATGCCGTTTTCCGTTATCTTCAGAGAAAATAACAACAAAATAATTACATTAGAACCAGGGGAAATTGTGTACGAAAAAAATTACTTTTTGTAAATTACAGATGCACATTACCATCCTTTTGTCAGACTGAGAAGAAGCCGATGTTTGTTAGGCACACCAAAATACTATTAAGTTTTGTGTGACAATTTTATGTGAATTACCTATAAAATATATGAAAATGATCATGTCATATTAGGCCTATCTTATATGAACAAATCACTGGTATTTGTCAAATTTGCTATTCTAAAAAGAGCTGTATGCCCTCTGTTTCCGATACTAAATTTTTGAATGACTTAATGAAAACACTGGTAAATGTGAAAGATCTGTTGCCGATAAATATTAATTTAAACTTTAAGGTAAGTATTTCAACTTTAAGGAAAAAATAATAAATGCTTTTAACTATATCAAAATTAACTTGTCAATAAACAGTTTTTTTAAATTTCATATTATTTGCATGCTTGTTATGTTGGAATCTAAGTATGATCGAAGAGTATTAGAAAATATCAAAATGATAAGGACCTATGTTATTTGTTCTGCCTTCCATTTTTAATGGTGTTTTTTCACAATCATTACTATTATTAATACATATGCCTATGATTATTACAATTATCATCGTTTAACAATATTCATTTACGTTCTTATTACACAAAAGCAATATTCAATATGATAATCGTACATAAACATTAGTCATAAACGAAGATCCGTATGGAAAACCAGCAGCTGGCCTAAATGTCGGTGACAAATATTCTCCGATAGTTTTGGTTGTTGCGCCATTTATAGCGAAAGTTTCACGAAGCCTACTGTCGCCATACTCAGCTCCATAGTCAAAGTAGATTATCTCTGAATAAAAAAAAGAGATATATAATTACATTAATAAATAAATATACCTTAAACTTATAACACACACATGCTCAAATCTTGTATAATAATGATTTGGTATTTGTATATGTCTTATTTTATTATTGTACAAAGTACAGCAGTTTGACAAAAGAGAATTTCGAGGATAAAAAATGCATTAATTTAAATATAGATTAAAATATGATGATAAAATTTCTTTTATTATTTTTAGTTTTTCATCATCTAACAGCAAGTATGTCTAGGAATATTGCTTGCTTAAATCACAACAAGGATAACCCAGTCTGAAGACTTGCTTTCAGAGGCGTTTTTATTTTTTTGGTGGTGGACAGTACAACAATATGTTACACTTATATACAGCGCGCCAACAATCAAGTTATCAATAATACTTTAACCAAAGACCATGGGTTGAAAATCTGGTTTGGTTTCTGTTGTGTTCTGCTTTTCATATGAAAAGTGTTTTTGATGTGGTTGCCTTCATAGTTTGTTTTTTTATGACCTTTAATATGGTTGTTTAAATCCTTTTTAAATATTTGTTTTACGTTCAAAATTGTTTGGCTAGCATTCAATTTGGTCTTCGGGGCACGTTTTAATGTTGTTTTTGAAAATAAAAGTGAAATGATTATGATGATGATGAAGATGATAGAAAGCATCATAACTAGGCTGCTGCTTCACCCTGGACGTAATTATTTACATAAATTGGAGACGGGTTTAAGTAAACGGTATCTTTATTTGGAAAATATCAACATAAGAAAAATCCTTCAATGCCCGTCGAAGATGAATTGCTGAACTAAATTAAAAACATGTCCACATGAACAAGGTTAAAAATGTCTCCTGATTGAACTACCCAATACCAATATCCAAAATAAGAAAAGAATTAATAAATTCATTAATGATCAATTACAAATTGATGGGGATGAAAAAATAAATAACAACTCAATATGGTCTTGTTTTTCTTCATACATGTACATAGGTTTCTTACTTCTTCCACGTAATTGGAAAAAAGATGACTCAAAACAAAATAGGAGGTTGTAATAAAAAAGATAACATTGCCAAGAGAAAGTACTGTTATTTAAAAATGTGGCCAATGTAACCATGGTACTTACCGATACAGGAGAAACCATCACCAGCGAACCCCTCGCCGCATTCACAAGTGTAGCTTCCATCGTTGTCTGTGCAATTCGCATTTACAGAACAATCACTTACACCAAGTGCGCACTCGTCTATGTCTTCAAAATGAAAAAATCATAAGCTCGTAATGCTAAGTTTAGAAAAAACATAACGTTGATATTTCATTCACGTTTGCAAATCTTTGCCATGTTGGTTGTTTAAAATTACACCGGCGTTCGGGTTGAGTCATGACCCAAATTCGGTTGCGGGAAATTTCTGTGTCGACGTGTCATCAGTTTGACTTAACTCAGTTAACTTTTATAGGTCGCTTTAATTGATCACAATACAAAAGCCATACATATGCAAGACTTTTTAAATATATAGATTAATAATCATTACAGCAGAATATACATTGTTTTTATTTTTTTTATTTTAATATATCGAATAATATTATTACACATAGTACACATATTAAAAACTGGGAGTAGCCTAGATTAGGCAGGAAGCAGGCTGGTTTCCCCGGACATTTTC